AAAGAATGCCAAGTTATAGGTGAAATTAATGTATCATCCCTGAGAGCCAAATCCCTATTTCCAATTGCTTAGTTGTTTTTTTTTTTTTTTTTTTTTTTGTTTTTTGGTTTTTTTCCGGTACCGGGAACCGAACTCACGACCTTGCACTTGCCAGGCAGGCGCTTTTGCCGCTGAGCTAAATCCCCAGCCCCTCCAATTGCTTAATAAGCATCGATGACTGACTGACCTGGATGGCATCTAAAAATTTATTCATCAGAATTAAGTTTACAATGCCCTGGCCCCTTTTCTTTTTACAGTGCTGGGGACTGAACCCAGGGCCTTGCACTTGTTCAGCAGTGCTCTACACTGTGCTACATCTCCAGCCCTTATCAATTCCTCTTGAGGCAGGTCTACTTTTTTGATAAATGATGATGATTTAGTCTCTCCTAACTCAAGCTATTTTCTAGCTTACAGGTCATCACTCTTTTCTTTTACCTTTCATCCAGTCATCTCTCTAATATATAAAGTACCCCAGAACTCAGCCTGGCTAACTTGTTTGTCTCATCAATAAATACACCTATGGTTATCTAATCATTTAGTTTCATGGTTAAGTACTCTGACAACTGCCAAATATATACCCCTAGCCCCAACCTCTCCCTGAAACATCAATTCAAATAGCCCAGCCTGTGTATCTAACCTGTGGCCAGCAAGCTGCTTGCCCCACCCCCACTTCTGAGACAAGGTCTCAGTATGTAGTTCAAGTTGGCCTTAAACGTATGATGTAGCTCAGGCTGACCTTAAACTCTTAATTTTCCTGTCTCAGTCTCCAAGTGCTGGGGTCACACATGTGTACCACCACATCAAGCTCTTTTTTAATGTTATAAAAATATATGAAAAAAGGAAATTTTAAGCCAGGTGTGACAGTGCATGCCTATAATCCCACTACTCGAGAGGCTGAGGCATGAGGATCATTGTGATTTTGAAGCCACATTTTGTGTTCAAAGCCAGCCTGAACTACATAGTGAGACTCTGTCTCAAACACCAAACAGAAAAAAGGGAGGTCTTGTTACTTGTATGTACTAACTAAATATATATATA